CTTGACAGGGTTTGGACCATTTTGGTGGTAAATAATAAGTTCCTTTTTTTGGTTGGCCCACTCAGAAAGTGAGTAGTCATGGTTTGGTGCGGAAAGGTTGCGGTTGTTACTTTGTGAAAAGGGACCCTCGATAGATGTTTCTTTGACCGAGCTTGACCCCACCCGAACTTGTCCAACCCGGGAAGGTCCAAAAAGATTGGGGTCATCGTTCCATGTCGATCTGAAATGTGCAGTTGCTTTGGGATTCCCGCAAGCGATTCAAATCAGAAATGTTGATATCAGAGGATCCTTTCGACGATGGCATTTCCTTGAAGAGCGTTGCCGGGGGTTTGGCGTAAGAGGTATATGGGTCAAAATGAAGCCACCAGGGGACCGCGGGTTTTTGTCTTTGGTTCCATTTATCAGGGTTCCATTTTGGGTCACATTTTTAACCCACAGCCGTATACTGCATTAGCTTACAGTGGTGATAAGCTTCCAAGCATCACAAATGGTAGGCTCGGTTTCACCCCAAGCCCACGTTTGATCTGACTTGTCTTTGCGCAGGCCCCACTGCCGTTTGCAGAGTGGCCGTCGTTCGAGCTTAAAAGACACAAAATGTAATATGCATATGTATAAGAATATAACAATTATAGCAATAGTGATCGAAATATATGAATTTGTAAATATTATATATATATATTGATTAATTATAGATTTATTAATTAGATTATGCTGGTAAGTCGTTGTAGTAGTATTTTGGCCGAATTGTAGTGTTTGTGATGAGCGGTTTTATTTATGGTTGTTATTGTTATTGGTTTTGTTTTTTTATGGCATAATTTTCGTTTTTTTGTATGGTCTAAAAAATATCGAGATTTTGCCGAAATTTTGGGTATGATGTATTTTGGCTTAGTTTTGCCGAATTTTGGGTTGTTTTCGGCGATATGATTTTTAGGTGTTTGGATATTACTCTAGCAATTTTTTTGGGAATTTGGTGGTTTTTTATTAAAATTATTGGGTTAAAATTCGGAGTGTGATGGGTGTTTTTGTATTTTTGTTTTTCTTTGTGTTTTGTAGTTTGTTTTTGTATGTTTGTATTTATTTGTTGTAATTTTTATTTTTTCTTTATTTATTTTTGTGTAATTTTATTTGTTGCTTCTGTGTTTGTGTTTCTTTGTTTTTTGGGTTGGGTTGTTTCGGTTTGATATTGTTTTTGTTTGTCTTTATATATTTGTGTTTGTTATTCGTTTTTATTTTTTTGTGTTTCTTTGTTTATTTTTGTGTGTTTGTGTTTGTTTATTTGGTAATGTTTATGTATATATTTTGTTGTATTTTTTTGTTGGTTTGGATTTGTTTTTGCGAATCGGCGAATAAAAATAACATATTTTTGTGTTGTTGTATACCGCATTTTTCTCTTTTAAATGTTGCATTTTTTTGTTGATCTGTTTTTTATTTTATTTTGGATTATTATTATTATATTACTATTGGTTTTGTTTATTTGTTTGCTTCCCTTTATTTTTGTCTCTTTTTGTTTCTTCCCTTTTTTTTCTCTCTCTTTTTATTTTTCTTTCTCTTTTTCTTTCTCTTTTTTTCCCTCGTTGCTTAGATCTTAGATTTGGGGAGCCATTGTCTCCACTCGGTTATTCCCGTTAGCAATAATTCCTCTTGCCATGGGTTTCTTTCTCTTTTTCTATCTCTTTCTTTCTTTCTTTTATTCTCTTTTTCTTTATCTCTTTTTTTTTCTTTCTCTTTCTTTCTCTTTCTTTCTTTTTCTTTCTCTTTCTTTCTCTTTCTTTCTCTTTCTTTCTCTTTCTTTCTCTTTCTTTGTGTTTCTCTTTCTCTCTCTTTTTTTGGTTTTCTTGTTTTTTCTCTATGTTTGTGTTTTTTTTGTTTTATTGTCTTTTTTTTGTTATTACTATTTCTTTAATATGTTTTTTCTTATTATGTTTCTCTTTTTTTTTTTCTCTTTTTTTTTCTTTCTTTATTATTTTTTTTGTTGGTATTGCCATTGATAGAATTAACGGGATCTTTTTAGTATATAATGAAATATTTGAGAATATATTTGGTATATATTTCTGATTATTTCTTTTAATTTGTGTTTTGTGGAATTGTTATTTCTTAAATTGTATATTGTTTGGATTGAATTATTTGTGTCTTTGGTTTGAGTATTATTTTCGGAGCGTGATATAATTTTCGTATTTAAAGTGATATTAAGTTATAGGCGGATAAAATTTATTTCCCAATTCTAAATTTGTTCGAGTATATCGATTTAAAGATTTGGATTAATTTAATTATTATATTATACAATATTAATCTTTAATATTTATATATAATTATAATTTTATATATATATAATATTATCATAAAAGCATACATTTCTGTATTTTGTTAATAATATATATAATTTTAATATGTTTATAAAATATTTTATATATATATAATTATAATTGTGTTTATATTAATAAGTATAATAAATATATTCAATTATATATTTTACCAATAATATATAAAAATATTTAATAAAAATAAAATCTTATATATTCCGCTAATAACATATATAATTTTAGTCTTTAAGAATATATTACATATATAATAATTATCAAGGTAAAAAAAACCGTTCATTTGTTCTATTAACAACATTCGTAATTTCAACGTTTAAAAAATTATTCTATATAAATAAATATACAATAATAATCTATAAATAGAAAAATCATCATAGTAAATATTATAATTTATATATTCCATTAATAATATATATAATCCAAACGTATTCCATCCCTTCCTTAGAGCAAACGTATTCCATTAATAATATATAAGTAAACGTATTCCATCCCTTCCTTAGAGCAAAGCTAACATCATTTAGGACTAGTGTCTATATTAATATCGTAAGCATATACCAAAAAAAACATATAATATTCCTATCTCCCGCTCTATATTATGTTATTAGTTTTCTATATTTTTACGTTCAATATATAAAATTGTAATATATATATTTTTATTATATTGTTTTTTGTTTTGTTTTTTTTAATAAATTTATTTGTTAGTATTTTTTTCTGCCCCCGAGCGCACGCCCCATTCATGCGCCATCGATATCTTTCCATGCAACCCCAGTAAAGGGAATTTATCTCCGCCAAGGTGCACGGGCGAGCCGGACGGCACTGCTAAAATCGCTCATGCTTTTGAAATGCGAAGTGCTGCCATTTGTGTGTGTGTCAAAAATAAACCACCAGGATATGCACCACTGGTCTTGGTCCATGTTGCCACTTACCAGGGTTCCATTTTGGGTACCCCCAGTGAACATCCCAATCCCCACTAAACTACGTTCTAAAATGGGTGGTGAATTCACCTACCCCAAGACGGATCCCAATTTGTTGACCAATTAAGGGACCACCCTCCAAGAAGGATCAGAGGGCATCACTTCGGATCCCCGCTAAAAGTGACTAACTACCCTCCAACGTAGATTGTCCTAATTTGTGGACTCATGCCTATTGCTTCGGCCTCCTTTGTTTGATTCCCAACCAATTGTTGGGTCTTGCACCATTTTCCTTAGAAAGGGCCAGGTCCCTGTTACCCTAGTATCTGGTCAGTAACCATGGCTATAACCCCATGGCAAGTCCCCGTTCTGCATCCATGTCCGTCCCGACTTGTCTGTTAGACCCTCAAAGCAAGAGATAAGTTGGAGTTGGGACGAGGTCCCCATGTTCCAAGATGATTCCAGCGGCGTCCATAGGTCTTACACGTGGCCTTAATCAAACCAGGTTCAATTGGCCAATCGGAACGAGCTCTGGGTGATACCAAGCAACTTGTCCAGCGTGTGTTTAAACGGGGGGTCAGCGTTCCAGGGGTGCGGAAACAAACATCAAGCACTCAATTCAATTCATAAGCACTTAATTCATACCCACTAAAATGTGTCCCAAACCGCTCACACGTTCCCTGCTGCCCCGCTCCCTACATGCGATGATGGCACGGCCCAAGGCCATCATGCGGCCTTGAAACCCTCAGGCGACCACGCCAAACCCCGCCGAACTTTGGCACCAGACCGAGAAAACCTAAAATGCATGATGCCTGGTCCGTCTGTGTATACATGTATATATATATATATATTATAATATATATACATATATAATGTTGGGGAGTGAATAATAAAGGGGCCCCCTTAGAATTGGTTTAGTATTGGTTTAGTATTCCCTGGCCCCAGTCCTAAAAAACTTTTCTCAATTAACTCCCCTTAAACAAATCTCATTATTTGCTTCCTGGGTGTTCCCTGTACTACCCCCTTGAAAATTTGGCAGGGTGCAACTTTTAGTAAGGGCTGTCATAAAGAATTTAGCTGTTGGGGACCTCAGTTAAACTTCCTTTTCAGGGACTTCAATCATCATCTCCTTGTTGGTGGTGGTGGTAGGTTGCGGGGGGCGGGCGGGGCAGAGAGAGACGGGAGTTGCACTGAACTAGGGATTAATTATCAAACTTTTTTTGGGGGAACATTTTCCCGGATTTTTTGCCCCTCACAAAAACTTTTGTGTATTAACTCCCCCTTTTGCTTTTCAGGGGTGTGACTATTTTTTGGACTTTTTGTGTATTGACTCCCCATTTGTTATTCGCAACCTAACATTACACCTTTATAACATACATATATATAACATGCAAAGCTAATCCCACCAAATGGTCTTCCGCACAAAACAAAACAAAAAAGTGCTGGGATGGTTCCTGATGGAAATCGAATGCCATCGAGGTCGGAAGCAGTTTGCAAGACCCTTTGCGCAGCTGGAGGCATCCTTTCTAGAGGGTTCCAAGATCAATTTCTCGAAGGAAGCCCCACACATATGTCCTTTGTCACCCGCTTCAGTCGCCACCGCTGAACCGAATTCAGCCCATGTGTCATCAACCACTTGTCCATTTCTTGCAATATGCAAGCGAGAAAATAGCATTGGTCTTGGAAAACTTCATGTCGGAGCAATCAACGTGGGTTTTTTCAGGGTCCCAGAAACCCAAAAGCGAAGCATTGATCCTGAATGAGACAACCCCCCCCTCCCCAACAAGTGGTTTAAGGAGCAACTGGCTTCCCATCGGGGGTTCGACGCATGTCGCCAAGAGATCTCTGCTGATCGAATCTTCTCCTGGCTCAAACATATCCCGACGGCAACGCCTTGCGAGCGGTATCCAATTGAAACCAAAAGGACGTTCCTCAAAAAATGGAGTCCCCTGAAATGGCCGTGGAGTCCCTTCTCACTTCCCCTTCAACACCAAAAGGCGATCTACAGTACCAATTTGAGAAGCTCCCCAAAAGACCGTAGCGTTCCCCAGAGTAATCCGGGCCTCGGTTGGGGGGTGCACACCACAATCCAAAAGTGGGAACGCTCCTCCGAAGCTTTCTATGCTCCTTCTATTAAATTCAGTGACCTAGGTTGAAACGCCGAGACCTCTCCCCTGGCTCTGCGCACCCATTGCCCCCCTTCCAAAACATTGATTAAAGCACCCGCCCACCGAAAGTCTTGAATCCCTGTCTCTACTTTCGATACCAAGAATGATATGTTCAGGCTGGGTTTCATGTTTGGTCTACCCTATGTACAATCAATTTCGGACGAGACTCCAGGGCTGTCCCTTCACTCAAGCCCGACCCCAGCCCACGCCTGCAGTTTGACGATCGCAGAACGATTTGGACCCTTCCGCTTGAACACGGTCAAATCTGCGGCCATCTGGTTGACCCTCAAAACCAAAATCAAACCGTTTTTCGGGCCTGTCAAAAAGCAAAAGTATCAAAATGATCGAGGGACCGGCCTTTCCTTGCCAGCTAACTTCCGGATGAGATGGAAATGAATACTGCGTACACCCTCGCTTCTTGGCGTCTTGAGTGCACGGGTCAAAGGTCAAATCCCTAGACCTGTTGTTTACCATTAAAATGATCTTCCCAAAAAGACGAAAGACCAGAAAGTGAGGACCCAGTCAAGAAATAAGGGTTGCCCAGCTCATTTGTTTTCTTTGTTCATCCGGGTTCTGGTTCTGGGACCCAAAACAAAACAGCTCTCCAACCGCACACGGAGAAGGCACCCACCCACCCACCCCGGGCCTTGAATTCTGCAGGAAGCCGCCGGCCCCTGCGACGTCAAATGGCACCAATCCCCAGGTAGGTTCTTCTGAAGCAAAAAAAAAAGCGGCCAAAACAAAACGGTAAACTGAAAAGATGCGTTCTTTCCCCCGCAGCCCCAAATGAAACGTGTTTGGTTTTTGTGTTAATATGCGTGTATATATATATATATATATATATATATGTATATATATATATGCTAAGCCCCCCCCCCCAATTAATATATATATATATATATACATATCAATACATAGACCGTCACCCAACAACCGTTTGGGAATCGAACAAAGGTGGCCTGCCAAAGCAAACAGGAGATGAATCCACAAATCAAGCCGATTATCAGCAGGACCGTGTCAAGCCGAAAGAGTAGAACCAGTTGGTTGAGCACAACTCAGGGCAGTGGACCCTCACAAATCCAAGCACTGGACGTGTTTTCCCCCTTTACTCTCCCTCAAAAAAAGGCTTACCCTGGTTTCTTCTGGGATCTGTTTAGCACCTGCCAACGAATCAAGGCGCGTTCTAACCTCCACAGAAACCGAACCGAAAAACGGTGCTCATCTGAAGAAACAAAACTGTGCTGCCCTCAAATCCCCTGCTAAAGCGTTAGCTTTTAGTGGGTGAAATGCGGAAGCCCAACCACTAAACCAGCTAAAAGCTAAAAGTCTAAGGAACCGGATGCTTCTACACCTCACGAACCTGAAACGACCCACCAACCCACCAAGCCACCAACCCACCGACCCACCCACCCACCCACCAACCAAAACCAGCAGACAAGTAGCTAACCGACCATTCAACCAATCATCCAATTGTGAACGACCAGGTGTTTCCGCCTTGAAAGTCGAAACCAGGAATATCAGCAGGTCAAAATGTCAATCCCGGATTAATAAACCGTCCTGTTCATAGGGGGGCGCTCCCTCCAAAAGTGATGCAGGAATCCTCGAATAAAAGCTAACCCCAGGGGGGGTCACCGCAAACAATTGTATCATAAAAGGCCATTCAGCTCGGCTCGATTCGCTTTGGGCCTTGGTGAGACATTGCCACATGCGAGGTGTTCAACTCTCGAACAAGGGTTTCATCTAAACCGGGCCCAAGGAGATGTCTTCGCATTAACAGGAATTGCAAAACCCCTATGTATCATCGGGCTTGTCATGGTTGACATTGGAAGGGGAGCAAAGATTTAAATTTTAGCAGCTAAGTGGTTGGATTTCAACCACTAAACCACTAACAACAACCATGTTGTACTTCATCACAAAACATCATCCCCCTCTGGGAACACTGCTCCGTCTCCGCCTCCGGCAGTTTCAATGACGGCAGACTATGCCCCAGCTGCCGCCTGCCCAGCGCGTCTTTCCGTGACCGCACACATAAACACAGCCACACGCTTGGGCGTGTTGCTTAAGGGAGAAAACCCTTTTGTTGGGCATCGTTTCAGTGGGGATGCATGTCCACCAACCGCCATTGAGGTGGCTCCATCTTAAAATGTATCGCTATTTGGAGGTTCAAGTGGGTAGGTCTTTCTGTTGAAAAAGCGCTCTCCCAGTGGACATCGCCCAGACATATCCGCGGTGCAATCTGGGGTCGGATGCGGCTTGTTCTGCAACATGGGCTTCCTGTAACTCAACGCGGCGTCCTGAAAACCCAGTCATGGAACTAAGGCTTCCCTGGACCGGTTTCCTTTCTGGGACCTCTCTCAGATTTCACACTCGTGAGGATACCACTCGCCACTGGTACTTGGAGATCCAGCACCATGGCTGGCAATCCAGCGTGGCTTGACGCGTGCCGCGCTTGCCGCGGTTGCAATCCCAGCAGGAAAAAAAGAAACTCTCCTCTGCTTCCCGTCGGTTGTTTTGAGTGGGGCACCGAAGAGCAAAATGCAAGGACCACAAGGGCCCCTGACGGCCTTGCGGGCTTCTTGGCTTTAGACCGGCAAGTGGCGGATCACCGGAGACAAAACAAAAAAACACAAGCGGGCACAACCGTTGTTTTCATCTAAGGGAACAACGTGAAACTTCATGTGGAAAAAGAGGCCTCGCCGGTCCCAAAGGAAACAACAGCTTAGCCTTGGGGGAAAAACAAACAGACCGATGATAAGGGGGAGCCAAATTCGAAGGCCCCCCCAACACCCCGACCTGCTCGGTCGACTGGCCAAAAAAACGAAACATGTTTGTCTGTTTTCAGCTTTTACTAAATTTGATGAAGACTCCAGGGTTTGCCTCTTCCAATGAAATGAACAAGGGAACAACCTCCCTTGAGAAGGGTGTCTACACTACCCAAAAGGCTGCCTATGTATCCAACAAACAGCGGAAAAGGCAAACCATCCTGAAGACATCTACCAAAAACCATTGAAGCTTGCCAACTCCATAGGTTTCCGGTTTCCGGCCCCTCTGCGACTCTCAAAAAGTCTTCGCCTGCCTGCAACCCCCCGCGCAAAAATTGTGAAGCTTGTGCTCGTCAAAAGGGAAACTAGGTCCTCCAGTAGAGAGGTTAGAATAAGGGTCTCCTTTTTTCTGTAGTCTACTTTAGACACACGGAACCCTCCCCCCAAAAAAGGGGTTAAAAAGGGCACCTAGCTGGGGGACCTAGGACAATGAGGCAAACAACGCAAAAAAAAGGTCAGCTTGTCACTTCCTGAGCGGATTGGCCGAAGTCCCAACTTTGTTTGTTTGAACACGAACATGGTCTACCCAAAAAGTTCAAGGTCCGAAATGGAACTCAGGAAGAGAGGCTTAATGTTGACCCCGGATTCATAAACCCTGTTTATCAATCTGGGGGTGTCCATTTCTGGCTTTGGTGGGGATTAATCACTTTTGGAGGGGACCCATATTAATAAACCCCTCTACCAGTGGTTGACATGGTTTAACAAAGCTCCGTTTTAGGGGGAACCATCTTAGACCCCGTTTTGGAGGGGCCGAAAAAATCCGGGGTCCGCATGAAGTCCGGCAACGTGCCGAACGACTTTTTCCGGAGCAACTCCGCCTTCGACATGGCAACCGCTGCCGCCTTGGCGGATGCCGCCGCCTGCGCGGGCAAAAAAAAAACGCGTCTTCCACGTGAGTCATAGGCAAAACCCGGGATTTAAGACTCATCTTCACAGTGGTGGTTGGGGATTCTGGTGCCCTTCTGCCCAATTTTGCAGGTTGAGTCACGACCAAAACCTGGTCTATCCAGAACCATGCTCAAAGAATGAAGAAGGCGGATATTCGCAGCATATTGCTGGTTGGGAGTGTCCCTTAGTAACCTTCATCTACCCGGGTTTTGATTGTGGCTCATGTGAGGGTGCCGCGTAGCTTTGGCTTTTTTCATGGGGAAGCCCCTGAAAAGTAGTGGACATCCGCCAAAGGCGTTGGTCCTCCGCCAAAGCCGCTAAAGTTCACACCCATATGAGCCCCGGCGTTCACTTTCTGCATGTGAAAGGTGCTTGGTGGACATAGATCTCCACCCGAAGGGCCCGGGACTACATGACCCAACCTCCTTTCGACCCTTCGTTCACCTGTGGAGAAGCCCGATTTGTCCTTCATATTTGGATTGGGCAATTCCCAATCACCCCGGTTTTCTGGGGCAAATTCGTGAAGGGGAGTGGTGAAACCTTTTGGCTAAGACGCAGAAAACCTTAGGAAAGGGGTATGGCCCAGTTTCAGGTGGAAGCTCTTGGCTAAGAGCACCGGGTCTACAGAGAGGCTGCGCGAATGGTGCTTCTCCAATCTGCACGTAGGCCTTGGAAATGGGACAATGTGCGTGTGGTTAAGAGGACCTGGTTTTTAGGGGCCACCCCAAAGCGCTTGGTTTCCCTACTAGGTCCTCCAGATGAGGCTAGAAAAAGGGTACCCGATGTTTTTTTTCTTTTTTTTCTGTAGTCTATTTTAGTAGGGGAACCCTCCCCAAAAAAAGTGGGTATAAGGGCACCTAGCTGAAAAAACCGATCCTAAGACCCGAAAAAATGTTTCGGGCAAGTGCACCCCACGGGACGTCGCGATCCTTGCGCGCCTCTGTCGCCTGCTTCCGGGCCTTTGCCTTGGGGCCCTTGGGCTCCTGCGACGGGTTCGAATGGGTGACACGGGGAGGTTGGGGATGGATTCGGGGGGGGGGGGGGGGAGATTGGGGGGGGGGGAGTGAGGTTGTTGGGGGGGGGGCGGGGGGGTTTAAGTGAGTTGGTTTGTCTTTTTAGGTTGGGTCTTGGCTGCCAAATATGGCATGAGGACCCCCTCCCCCCAAAAGAAGAGAATCCAGTTCTCCATTGAAATGGGTTGCACCCTTTTGCGAATCCAGGACGCCCAGAGAAAACAAAAAAAGAAGAAGATTCTTCCATTCTGCGATAGAGCAACTGGGGCTGTGTGTGTGTGTGTGCGAAAACCTGGAGAACATGCCAAAACGGCAAGTTTCATGTTGTTCGTTTCAAGGAAACCTTCCTTGAAACTGAAGGAGGGTCCCTGAGGAAGAAGCATCATGGGGGGGCCATTTGGATGGCTCGTCCTTTTTGAGGCCCCCTTTCTTGTGGTTTCCATGGAAAGCAAAAGGCAAGCGTTCGGAGGGTCCCCTAAAACAAGACAGGCCCATTTCAGTTTGAATGCTTGCTTTTGGGAGTGGTTTTCACTCATGTAGATGGCCCTGGTAAAAGCAATCAAACCTAAAACAGTGCCAGTGCCTTCTAGATTCTATTTCTAAGCAGACTAACCTAATCATGGTTTCCCACGGTGGTGCGGAATTTCGTCCATGGCCTTTTGAAGTAGATGGACACTAAGCCCTTTTGGAAATAGATGGCCCTGGAAAAAAGCAATCAAACCTAAACCCATCTATTTCTATGGCAACACTACCCTAAAAAGGAAACTGACATGATTTCATTTGCTTAAGTCCCCTGGAAAAACAAAAGTATGTCCAGTCGTGAAATCGATTCCCTTTAAAATCAACTGGGAAAATAACACATAGTCTTCACCAAATGGAAGTTGGACAAATTAGATGAGCACCTGTGCTTTCACTTTGCTTCGGCTTCGCTTGGTCGGGGCCCAGCGCCCCCTCCTCGGCAGAGCGCTTCTTGGGAACAGCCTTCGGCGCGGCGAGCGCAGCGGGCCTCGCCGGCTTGAAAAGGCTCAAAAGCACCCCATACTCGGTGGACCCAAAACTGGGCTGCCCTCAGATTCCCCGCAAAAAGTGACTGACTTCTAGTAAGTTAAATGGAAACTACCACTAAACGCTAAAAGGCTAAAAAGCTAAGGGGATGGCTGGGAGCCACCAAGAAAATACATAAGGCTTCCCTTCCAACATACGAGTTTCCTTCCGACCCCTTTGACCCCTTCCGAAACTCCTTCCACTGGCCCAAGGTTATGTCAGGGGCTCCTTTTCAAAAACCTCACAAAGTCATCGCCCTGACCCCCCTGGTTACCTCCAAATTAGGCCGCAGGCCAGACATTAGGGTCTCATTTTGCGGAACTGGGAGAAGCAAAGGGTACGGGGAGTCCAGGAGTGCTCCTTTGCTTGCAACATGTAGAGGGATCCTTACATTATACACCTGAACATTGCCTTGTAAATGGTGGCTTCCCTTTATTTTGGTGGAAAACACCATGTTTCAAATGGGCGACATGTATCTTTTAAGGAGCCCTGATGTAGGAAACAACTATAATACAGAGACACTTTTTGGGGATGAACTAGATGATTCAGGCACGACCAAAGGGGACTGCCGGAAATTGGCGCTAGCAGGGCACACTCTCAGAACTCAAAGGCTCCTGTGGTCTTTGACCCCCTCGCAGGTTTTAGTCTTTGCTCCCGCCTGCAAAGGGTGCCATTTTTTCCGAACTCCATTTTCTGAGCCACAGCCGCTTTGTCAAAACGCCTCAATCCAACAACCCAAAAACTTCGAGGGTCACACCCCGGGAATCGCCAACTTGTGTCTCAGCCGTGGCATGGCTGGTGCTTGGAACCGTCAGGTCATCTACTCAATCGTGATCTAGATGAAAGAGAACAAACATACCAACCGGGTGGGTTTCCTTGACAAGAGGATTTACCCTGCCGTCCACTACCATCAACAAAACCCGACTTGATATGGTCGCCTTTTGAAGGGTCCAAAAAAACCTGACTGGGGGGGGTCCTGGAAGATCAACTCCCTTTACAAGGACCCCCAAACCAGCTTCTGAACTATAACCCCCATGGTCAAAACGGTAAACGCTCGAATGGTTTCCAGATCGAGATGGTCAACGATCCTAGTTCCGGAGCCCGCGAAATCTGGGAAAACCAATGGAAACGGATCACTCCAGGGGTGGATTTCCCAGCGTCCATTCTTTTTCGACCATCGTCTCTGTCCCAACAACCGGATCCGGTTTCAACCGATCGGGTGTTTTTCTCCGGAGGTTTTGCTAGAATCCGGGGGCCCCTGGAAAGGATGGAATTGGAAGGTAGCCCCAGAATCACAATCACCAAAACACATAGAGCCCCCTCTGTGGTTTGGTCTCGTGTTTGACAACGTCCCAATTGCTCCCTTGGATACCATGGAACCCAAGCCCATCATAGGCAAACTCCGGGGCGTGGAAAGGGCAAGGTGCTGTGAGCAAAAAGGCACAAACCGAAAAGAGGAATCCCCAGCACGACTGGACCCCTGCAACTGCTATGAATAAGGGTCCCCGATTTTCTTCTGTAGTCTATTTTAGTAGGGGAACCCTCCCAAAAAAGGGGAGAGAAGGGCACTACTGGGGGACCTCTGGCTTCCCCCAGACATTCACTTCCGTTTCGGGCCGCCGGCCTCACAGCCTTGCCCAGCAGCGGCGAGTTCTCCATCCTCGCTTCGGGGCACGAGTGAAGTCGGCTCCGGCGAAACTGGGCGCTGTTCCCTGTGCTTCTGGTTTCGCCTTTGAAACCAATCATTTCTGGGCTGTCACCAAACCCTGAGAACCTAAAAACCTAGAGGGATGGCTGGGAACCACCAAAAAAGTAAGAGTATAGTCAAAGAGATACACCAAAGATGGTGGCTTCATGTGGGTTCCCTTCAAACCAAGAACACAACACTACACCAGTTGGACAAAACTGGGATGGATGAAACCCGACTTGAATACGACAAATCACCCATCTGGTGCAAAGTGGATTTGGTCCATCCACAACAAAAACAAAAACTCTCTCTCTGAAACTCCTGAAGGGAAGCCCCAAGTCGAAGCCCGTGCGAGAGTGGTGCCGTTTTGTGGGAAACGCCCTACTGCAGTCGACTCAGTGGGGGGTGCATTTGCAATTCCTTGAAGTCAAGCAGCGGCTTTTCTGGCCGAGAAAGGAAATGGCTCCAAAACAAAACTTTGGAGCTGGGGAGATGTTTGGGACTGAAACAAACCCGACAAGGTAGATGCCCCAAGGGTGTCAATTTTAGCATCCAGCAATTTGAACAAAGCCAAAGGTCTGGCATCTCACTTCCGTTCGAGTGGACTGGCCAAACAAAGGTCCGAACCTTTTGTTTGCCACTAACATGGGAAGTCCCAAAAAGCGACCAAAGTCCTAAGAATTCAGGCTTTAACAACCTTCACAACACTTGGTATGGTCGGAAAGAAAACAAACTCTCTTTTTTACAGCCCCCTACTAAAAATGAACAGAAACAAAAGAAGAAAAAACAACTTGGCAAGAACAGTGAAGCAACGCATGCACAGAGTGCAGATTTATCTTGGGCCCCGCCTCGCTGCATCAAGCTACCTACCTCGTTGCTCGGCTCAGCTCATTGCGAATACTTAGAAGGATATATTGTTGAAGCTGATAGAACTCCCCCTGTTCTTGCGAAGGGGTATTTCATCTCCAGATGGATGTACCTCAATTCGTAACGAACTATTCTTGAATCATTGAACCAATTGAGAAAGGGGCGTTTTTTCAAGTTACGTAAAGCGAACCCCGCCTCCAAACAGGGGCGTCACTCTACTGGACTACTGGGCTGTCCGTTTTCAGATCCCCCACAAAAAGTGACTAACTTGTGGGATAAATACGGAAACCCAACCACGAAACCAACAAAAAATACTTTTAAAAAAGCCAAGAAAGGGGATGTTTGAAGGGTACCCATATTTTCTTTGAGGGTACCGCCGAGTCTCTCCCGCAGCAGCAGGCCGTGGCTCTCGACCCCCTCCAAACGCCACAGCTCCGACAAGTCCACCACGCTCCGTCGCTTGAAGCCTCGGCTTCAGTCCAGCGGGCTGCAAACCACTGGCATGGTCAACCCCCTGAATCTGTGGTACCATGTTTATGACTCGGTTGCTTGACCTGCGGATGGTTACAAAATCCATTTGGCAGTGTGTGTGTGTGCTTGGGTATTTGCAGGGGAATTGTCCGAGGGTTTCTTGGGTGGTGCAGGATTTCGTCCACCCAGAGTATGGTGGAACCATGTTTGCCACTTGGTTGCTGCAACGACCCCCCTGCAACAAGATTCTAACTTTTTGTGGGTGTAATCGTTAATGGACACCCCATCTGACTTCGACCAAAAAGTGGAAATCAAGACAAGGGCGCCAAACACGATGGAATTGCACCAGGCAGACTTGGGAGATGGCGCCATCCCATACCAACCGATGTTTTCGGTAAGTTTGCCAGGGTATTGTGGCCTGTAGCCGTTTTACTTGCAAGACTTACCCATCTGACTTTGATACCCTCAGAAAGAGAATCAAAATAAGGATCCCAGAAACAGGGTACCCCAAAAAATGGGCGTCAGGGCTGGTATGTGAGAAAGGGGGTCCACCCCCCCCCCAACCCCCACCTTTTCAAAAACATGTTGGCAAAAACCAACCTCTGTCAGTTTTCCCTGGAAGAAAGAATTATTTTTGGGTACGCCAACAAAAAAAACCGCCTGTAGCTCGAAACCGATCTTGTTTTGGGTTCAGAATCGTGAAGCTCCCACGTTTTTTAAGGGGATTCCTATGATTCCTTTGCTTCCCTTTGAAAAAAAGGCAAGCCTTTTCAGAGCGTCCTTTTTGCTTCTCCCCCCCCCCCCCATCCACCGAACCCCCCCCCCCCCTCCTGTGGTTTTCAGCTGAGCGTCTCATGGGCAGCGCCTGGTCGAAGTCGGTCGCCAGGGTGGGCTGCGCCCAGGTCTCCCGCATCTGCCGCACCAGCTCCCCGCCCACCAGCCCCAGCCTCGGTTTCGGTTCAGAAGGAGTGGAGCTGGGCGGCCCGGAACTCATTGGATGTATATGTATGGACTACATAATACACATACCCATGTAATATGTATGTATGTATGTCTGTCTGTCTGTCTGTCTGTCTGTCTGTCTGTCTGTCTGTCTGTCTGTCTGTCTGTCTGTCTGTCTGTCTGTCTGTCTGTCTGTCTGTCTGTCTGTCTGTCTGTCTGTCTGTCTGTCTGTCTGTCTGTCTGTCTGTCTGTCTGTCTGTCTGTCTGTCTGTCTGTCTGTCTGTCTGTCTGTCTGTATGTATGTATGTATGTATGTATGTATGTATGTATGTATGTATGTATGTATGTATGTATGTATGTGTATGTATGTATGTATGTATGTATGTATGTATGTATGTATGTATGTATGTATGTATGTATGTATGTATGTATGTATGTATGTATGTATGTATGTATGTATGTATGTATGTATGTATGTATGTATGTATGTATGTATGTATGTATGTATGTATGTATGTATGTATGTATGTATGTATGTATGTATGTATGTATGTATGTATGTATGTATGTATGTATGTATGTATGTACATGTTCCGTGTCTATATACATATGTGTATATATGTTCCAGTCTTTCTTGGCCCCCACCCCCACCCCCCCCCCAATGGTCATGCTCAGTCAAGAAGGTAGCACAGTGTGGCCGTACAACCCCCCCCCCTGTGGGATGGGGGGGGGACGGGGTCCATGGTTCCCACCCCCCGCCCCCCCTGCAGGAATCAGGGTCGGGGTCTATAGAAGGTAGCACAGTGTGATTGTACAAGCCCCCCCGCCCTTCTGTGGGATGGGTGTGGGGGGTCTATGGTTCCCACCCGCCCCCCTGTTAGAAGGTAGCACAGTGTGACCGTGCAAGCCCCCCCGCCCTCTCTGTAGGATCCCACCGTACAACCCCGCCCCTGTGAGGGATGCGTGGGGGGTCTATGGTCCCCACCCCCCCTCTCCCCCTTGCGTGGGAATGGGTTGGGTAAAACGCAGGTAGGTAGCACAGTGGGACAGTACACGGGGTGCATGGTTCCCCACCCCCCCCCCCGCCCCTGGATGGACCCATACCATTCGGGGGGGGGAGGGGGGGGGGCTGGGGACGACGGGCGACGGGGACACATATCTGCCGCCCTCCGCCAACCCCCCCCCCCTCCCCCGCCATGGACCAAGGTTTTGATCTCTTTCTCCCGCAATTTCACATCCCTGACCTCCCTGGACTTGTAGAAGACACGCAGTTTTGGCGTCCGACAAGGAATGTATTGACACTCTCATGAGGCCCGGGCAGGCGATGGCCTTCTGGACTCAGAGGGACCAGGGCCAACTTAGACTAAGTTGGTCCGAGACCGAGGCGCCACTGCACGCAGAGCCGATGCAGCACCGCCCCGCACGCGCAGAGCCGCGCGTCTTCCGCGCCGGGCGCGTCTTCCGCCGCCTCGTCCAGCAGAGGCGCCACCTCGAAAAACCGCGGAAAGTGGCCCAGTGGGCCCAGTTGGCCCAGTTGGAAGCAGGTTATATCCTAGGATGCCAACCACTTATTGGCCAAACAAGCTGGCTCCCTGGGTGCAAGTCTGATAAGAGCAGGTGTGTTGTTTGTCTGGTGCCCATTTCAGGTTGCTTTAAAGGGAAAATGACACATACCCATATGGGTATGTCCTTTCTTTAGGAATCCTCAAAAAAGGTAGTTATCCTGTTAAGCCAACAAAAAAACTGGCAAACCCTCAAAAAGACATAGCCACATTGGTATGTGTCAAAGGGGAACCTCCAAAATCGGTGGAAACTTCCTTCCTTTGGGCGTCCATTTACCCAACCTCTCACGAAGGTTGTTGAAAAATGTGATGTCTCAAAAAAAAGCAACCCTATTTAAGCCTCCCAAATGGTGGTCCTGTTGGTTCCCCTTAAAACAAACCAAGAAGCAGGTGCCAACTCTCAAGAGTGACACACCCAGACTCGGGTTCCGCACCGCACTTGCGGGTCGTCCTAGGGGCTTTCAGAAGTCAAACCCCCTGGGTGTTGCCTCACAATGGTGGCCCCCGCCCCGAAGTGGTGTCTCGATGTCCCCAAAAAAAACTTTGCAGTTGCACGGACATAGGTGTCCTTCTGGGAAAATAGATGGCCATGGTAAATGGAATCAAACTCATCTAAACCAGTGCCTTCTAGTTTTAACCAAACCAACCTAAGAAGGACACCTATGTGCACGGAAACCTCCCGTTTGCGATCTGTTGTTTCTTTGGTGAATAGATAACCGATGTCTGCCCCAGCCAGAGAAGAGCAGCTTCGAGAACTGCTTGAAATGGATATGATATGTGGCAAAATAGGCGGACCCGCGAAATCGAATGAAACTTCGTTGTTTCTTCTGATGTTTCCCTTTTGGTCAAAACACTACCCCCCACCAAGACACCACCAGGGTGTATCTTTCTTTTCGAGAACCCTGGCAATTCCGCGGGCTCCTGTCGGCGTCCCACCCTCGTTTGCTTCCTGATTTGCGAAATCCTCTTCTCGCACCACCCAAGAAGCCTGGAATGGTTCGATTTTATTATGTAACTACCAACCAGCACTGGTTTCAACCATGGCTTCAAAGTGGTGCGAAATGGATTTCGATTTCAACCATCCACAGTGGGTTCATCCCCATGTGTCAGCCACAACTGCCCCCCTGCCTTCAACGTGAGGAAGCGCACCGCGCAGTGGAAGACCCGCGCAAGCTCCGGCTCCTGAGAGAGGCGCGGAGGCGCGGCCAGGGAGCTTGAGAAACCAAGACTTCTATTTGGTTAAGGCCCCAGGAAAAAATATTTCCAGTATAGTGTATAGTGATGAATTCCTTTTAAACTCAACTGTGGATGGTTGAAATCGAAATCCATTTCGCACCACTTTGAAACCATAGGAAGCCATTGTTGGTGGGTATTTACAAGAGAATCATGATTCCCGGGTTTCTCAGGTGCTGCAGGATTTCGTCCATCCACAGTAGGTCCTCCAGATTTGAGAGGCTGTCTATTTTAGTGGGGGAACCCTCCCCAAAAAAAGGGGGTAAAAGGGCACTACTGGGGGGCCTAGTCGAGGAGAAACCAAGACGAAATCAGGACAAAGCAGGGGGGGTCCCCAAGGATCGTTCAGGAACCCGAAAAAACCCTAGATAATGCTAAGGAACCCGAAACAGGCTCTCAATGAAAGCACCTCCCTTGTCATTACCTGCTTGTGTTCGGCCAAGTGAGTAAGGGGTTAGGCAACTGGAGTGTAACTCCCCCCCCCCAATAACCAGGGGGTTCATGCCAGGGGTTCATATATGGAAGTATACTTGGATGCTCGATTCGCCAAGTTGGTAAGTGGGGGCGATCCCAATTGGGGTGTTTCACTCCCCCCAATAACTGTGAACCCCACTTAGGGGGACTTGTGAGTCCCAACAACTTGCTAACTTGGCCGAGCATCCAAGTAGGAGAATTTTGGAGGAACCCACTCCACACCCAGGAATTTGAGGTTGGAATCCAGTGAACTGATGTACCGAATCCTTATCTTCGGGCTTTTCGAAGACTGAAGCAATGGACCTGTTTTCTCCCCTCAGGAAATACTGTGGACGGACAAAATCCATTTCGCACCACCTAAGAAACCCTGGTTCTGATGATTCCCCTCTAAATGCCCGACAAACAATGGTTCCCCACGGTTTCAAAGCGGCTCGAAATTGATTTTGCAACCATCCACAACAGGACCTGCACCTGTGAGCTCGTCAGCCCGCCACAGAAATGAGGAGTTGCCAAGCACCCGCACTGCAGAATCTCAGCTTGTGGCTTCTGGATCGGAAAAAAAAGGAAGGTTCTCCTCGCCTCTCTCACTTCCTGAGCTGATTGGCCAAAAAACTCCAAACTTTTTATCTACCACTAACACGGTCTTTCCAAAAAGTTTAAAGTCCATAACTCAGGAAGTGAGGTCTGATTCCAGTTCGTTCGACCCGTGAATAGGGAGTACCCGAACCAAACAAAACCAATGTTCTACCCGGATGTCATCATCTGGACGCTCAGAACAACCCTGTATTCCTTTGAACAAGTATTTCATGTCAAATGCACTGGCATGTTCAACCTGCCGATGTACTCAAAACCGTATAACCGTTAGCAATACCTAATAAGTTGTAATCAGGTGAGAGCGGTCCGCGCCCCCAAAGTGGAGGACCCCTGTTTCGGTGGTAAAGGGAAACCAAGCCTTTTCGCCATTTGGGGTCCAAATCCTAGACCAGACACCCAGATTGGAAGATGACAAATCCCTGAAGGCTTGGGTTTCTGAAAGGCGCGACCTGGATGTCCTCAAAATCCACAGCCCCTCCCCAAAAATGCCCCCCAGCCAAGGGGAGCAAACCAAACTTCCCGGCGCAATGAGCTTTGCAGGTGTTGTCCTCCTCAAACATCTTGGTTGCAAATGGCACGCACCCAAGCTCAGCCCCGAAAACCGAGGAAATCTCGCCGGCCCGGCCCAGCCCATTCGCCGGTTTCCCCGCCGAACCGAGCGCCTTGGAGAGCGGCAGCCGCGCGAGGATCCCCACGGCCAGCTGCAGCTTGAGGCCCGAGCCGAGATCTCCCAGCAGCGAGGTGAGGAATTGGTCCCGCAGCGCGCGGCCCTGGGGATTTTTTGCCGCTGGGGCTGATACCGGGGATAGGAGGCTCAGATTGGGATTTGTTTTTTCCGCTGGGGCGTGTGAACCCCTGGGGGTAGGGGGCTCAAATTGGGATTCACATGGGTTGTCAAACATAGGGCCGCCTTTCAAAGGCCCGAAAAAGGCATGGCCCATGGCGCAAAAAGGCCTTTCCACTTTGGACCACGCCCCGCTTTTCTCAGTTGATTGGAGCTGGCTACCAAAATCCATCCAACGCGCCGTTCAGAAACCCCACGGAAGGGCCCCAACAAGCCAGAAATGGATTCCGCAGGCGGGGCGAAGTTTGATGCATGCGTTTCTCAGACCACTGGTCGTGGCTTTCCTCGCTTGAGCCCCGCTTGAGAATGGGAGCATAGTCCATGATGAGTGGGATTCTAAGGGAAACCGCAACAATGAGTTATCATGTCCATGATGTCCGACAATCATGTTGGAAGTTCCCAATTCAAAAAGATCATGGCCGGCCCTCAGGCACCCCAAAAGAGGGGCAATGTCAGGATTTATAAACCCAAGGGGTGTCCCAGCTTTGAGTGGGGCCCACACCCCCATATTATTAAACAGGGGGGGTACTAATCCGGGGTCAACATTATGGGCGACCTCAAGCCCGAGCATGGACTTGTGGAACATGTACCTTCCATTTGCTGAAAGGAGCATTTTGTTGGTTTTAAAGGGAACCGATTTAGCTACTGGGAAAAATCTCAGTTTTTCCACGGGTCGAAAACGCAAATGGAAGTTACCCAGGTTCCCTCCCCAGGGGTGCATTAATCCACATTACCCTTTTCACCTCGGCTTAAAGGGAAACTAAAACGGGAACACCACCCCATTTCCATGATTTTATTTTTTTAGGCAGGGGAGCCGGAAGCATTCATATTGTTCCATGGGTCAGATGGAAGTTGCCCCAGTGGGTGTCTCCATCCGCGGATCTTTCTTTGGAGCCACAAGCCACTTCTGGGCCTCGAGGAACTCGGCATAGGCCTCGCAGACCGCTTGGAAGCGCCAGGACTCGCTGTAGACCTCCCGAGAATCTGAATCCAAGGGCCGGCGGGGCCTTGGGGAGGGGGGGGGGGCGGGAGGCCCGGGTCCGCGTCCTAAAACGACCTCCGGGTGCGTGGTTTTCTTGGGGATGGTGTCTTCCAATTGAAGCCTCTTTTTGGGATGGTGTCTTCCAATTGCCATTCCCCTGTTTGGAACCTCCAAAAGTGGAAACCGATAGTTTCAATGGAAACCGCCAGCGAATTGATCAACTGTTCACTCGGGGAAAGTCCAGTGAAGCTTTGAAAGGACAGAAAGGGAAACAAAAGGTCCCGCTGACATTCTGCGCTTTTGGATTTCGATCCCTCATACCTCAAAATGCGAGGAAAAAAAAGAAGAAAAAAAAAACGAAGGTGTCTTGCAGTTTTCTCGTTTAGGTGACCCAGAGGGCGGGGTCCGCATTTGACAAAGGGAACCAAGCCTCCCGTCAACCAAGGGACCGACCAATCTATCCCTTTCAGAAGACCCCCAATGCCAAATGGAGTGTCACACTCAAGCACGGGATTGAGGCGGGCGCCGCAGAAATCTAAAAAAAGCATCGTGTGGTAAGCCAAACAACTCATTGTTGGCTGCTTTACACAACAAACTCCCTTCAAATCTGCAAACCTCCCTGGGTTTTGGCGGCTAACTGGTTGCTTACCGCCAACAAGTAAGAATGCTGCTTCTTCTCGAAACAAACCCACAAAAGTGCTTGAGATTTAGCATTGGCAGCAAAAGAGCCTCGACTCCTTCGCAAGATGTTGCTCGGATTGCAGGCCAAAGGGCTCAGTTGGGCCACCGGCAACCCAAAATGAAGCAACCACGGACCACGTGCCAATCCGCCTCAAGCTTTCTGCAACTATACAGGAGGTCCCCCTGTAGGTCCTTGTTCCTGGCCCAAATATGTCCTTAAGGCCGAAGTCTTCGCCCCTTTGCGCCTGACCCAGATGGTCTCGGGGGTTCTCCCCTGGAAAAGACCAGAAAAACATATCCTGGACACCCCCACCTGGGAGTCTGCTTTTTGATTCTCCCAAGATAGTCCCTGTTAGGGAAAACCGGCCCTGTGTTTATGTCTACCTGGCAATCAAAATCTTACCCTGGGCCCGTTCTGAAAACAAGGCTCAAGCATGGTGTCTTTTTGGACAAATAGGCCCTGGCAAATGATTATTATAACCAGACTCAAACCAGCAGACTCCGCCTAGTTTCAGCCAAACTGACCTGTTCACCCGAACCCCAGGCCTCCACATACCCCTCCGCCGCCAGCTTCCTCGCACGAGTGCGACGAAAAATAACCGCCGATGGTTGTAAAAGGTGTTCGTTTCCCAGGGCAACCTACTTGGGTAATGTTGACTCCTGACTAATAAACCCCCAGTTTTGAATCAGATGTCCCGGTCCTGGCGAGAAAGGATCCCCCACTAAGAAAATTCAAATGGTGGGGTTTATTCATCAGGAGTGTTCTACCCTCCCTCCCACTAACCTGGCAGCTAACAGAAATTGTCTTGGGGAAATTGATCTTCCACGTACCAGGTACTCTCCCACATATGCCTTCTGTTACTGGGAGGAAAGGTGCCTTTCGCCCCCTGGAAAAAATGAGCGAGAACATATCAAACAGGGGTCAGCACTACCTATGTTTGACCCCCACCTTTCTTTCGCCCCCTCAAAAAAATGGATGAGAACACCATGTCCAGTGACACGGATTCCCACCAAGGGCGTCCCCCCCCGCGCCGAAGGCCCGCGGCTCGCGGCCCGCGCGGCTTCCCTTCCGAGGCGCTCGGCCGCCAGCTGCAGCCCGGCGCCCAGGCGCTGCGCCAGCAGCGGCGGGGAGGACTCCACCAAGCGCAGCAGCAGCGGCCGGGCGTGCCTCGAGGCTCGCGCGGGCGGTGCGCGGCGCGGTCGGGCGGTGCGCGCTGGGGGGTGGCTGGGCTAGGGTGGGGTGGTGGGGTGGTGGGGTGGTGGGGTGGTGGGGTGGTGGGGTGGTGGGGTGGTGGGGTGGTGGGGTGGTGGGGTGGTGGGGTGGTGGGGTGGTGGGGTGGTGGGGTGGTGGGGTGGTGGGGTGTGGTGGGGTGTGGTGGGTGGGGTAACCAGGAGCTCAGGGAAAGCAAAGGAATGGGAACCCAAAACTCTGGGTGAATTGGAGGACCAAAGCCAAGGGAGCCAAAGAAGAACCAAAGTAAACCAAAGGGAACCAAAGGAGAACCTTGCAAGCTACTTTTCTTAAGTTGGGGGAGGTAAGGGCGTTTCGGCTTTTTCAGGCTTTGCCAACTACTCCGCTACAGTTTCCTTTTTTTCGTAACAAAGTCAACTTAAACCCGGCTCACCTCCCGTCAAGACATGGAAGCCAAGACGGAATGCGTGGCCCCTGCCAAGATAGGAGTTGCAAATTGGAGGCAGATAGGTAGAGTACCCGGAAAAAATGGGTGGGTGGTAGAAGCAAGAATGCAAAAGGACCCACCAGAAGGCTGCCGTGATGTTAGGTGAAAAAAAATGCTGGGTTGCTTCAAGCTGGAAAAGCCGTTTTCAGGTCACAAAGACAAAGTACCCAGTTTGAGGCCGGAGGCTCCGGCCATATTCCTCTGGTGGGCCTTGAACTTGCAATAGGGTCTTCTCGTTGATTTACCCAACTGGAAGCTCAAACAACTGGACACAACCTCTTTGCCCACATCCCATTTGGGGTCTATCAGACCCCACGCGACAGCCAAGCCGCCAGATTGACCATAAGCCTAGCCCTCAGGAATCTCCTAGACTCCCCCTGCAAATTAACATGGAATCGCCTTACCCTTGATGAGTGCTGCCAAAATGTGCCACCAAAATGGTCCAAACAAGTGACTAAAGTCCGAAACGGAACTCAGGAGTGAGAGGTCTTTCAGGGGTAACCAAAAGGAAAACCAAATGAAAACGGGGGGGGGGGAAAAAACGAAACCATTTTGGGGTGAAGGAACACCAATAGGCAAACTGCAACTCAACTTGGGGGATTCCGGGATGTTCAAAGGGAAGCCAAAAGGAAAACCCACCATATACTAGTTGATTTATGCCTCTAATTGTACTGTTTACTTATTTATTTATTTATTTATGTATTTTCTTTATTTTGGGGGGTCGAAAGAAAAAAAAAAACGAAAGAGCTTGCGCCGAGCCGCGCTGCCGCGATGGCCGGCGCGGCCACGGTGGCTGCGAGGATGTTCGGCAGGGTCGACGCCGGGTGCAGGACCTAAAAGCGCCATCCCTTGCTCAAAACCCAGTTTTCGAGTCGGTTAAACTCACTTCCTGAGTAGATAGCCCCAAAAAATCCAAACTCTTGTTCCTTACTACTAAAAATCGTCTTGAAGGTTCAAGAAGAACTTAGGAAGTGAGTAAAAGTCCAAACTGTTCGTCTGGGCTGTCTATCTTCGATTTGGTGCCCTTTCTGTAAAGGAAAGCCAGAAGGAAAACCACCATTTGCTCATTTCCGATCAAGTGGATTGGACCCGAAAAAGTCGCCAGCATGTGTTTTGCCACTGAGATGGTCTTCCCAACAAGTATCAAGTCCAGGAACTCAGGAAGCGAGCTTGTGGCTATCATCGAACCCCCGGGCCCATCCTTTGTAATAATCATGGGTAATAACCCGCTCGAGCATTGGCCTAGGCCATTTAAAACCTTCATTTGAAACCATGCGAAATGGATATGATGTGTTTTTCAGGCACCCTGTTTGGGGGGTGGTTTTTAAGGGGAACCAACCAGAAGAACCTTGCTTCGGTTTCTCTAAGCGGGGCCAATGTCCAGCCAAGAATTTCCGCCAAAAAAGGGGACGTCCTCTTAGGCAATATCCTCCCAATTGCAACCAGTTGTTTCTTTTTGTTGTTGGATGCAGTAAACGGGCATCCACTGTATGGCTTACTTGCCCAAAGCACCTTGAGAAAGAAAAAACGATTAACTTTTTCCCGTTTCCAATACTGTATCCACCATACCCCTCAACCCCCCTGAGCCTCCGAACCTCAACCCCAACCTCCCACCCCCACCAAAAGAAGCAGAGCCCCCCCGCTGTGTGTGTGGATGGTTGCGAAATCCATTTTGCCACCCAAGATTCCGATTCCCCATCGTAAAATACCAAACACAAGTCATGGCTTCAATCCCATGATTTCATTTCGGTGGTGCGAAAAGCAGAACCCCTCATGCTTTGTTCTATGGGGTGGAAAAACCTTTGAATCCCCAAACATGGACACCCCCATAGTAATAAACACTTGCTGGTGCGACAGGCGAGAAATGGAAAGACCCCAAGAATAACCGTTTCCTTTATTCCGAGTGGAGTGCGTGTGGAGAGTGGAGAGTGGAGAGTGGATTGTGGAGTGTGGAGTGGAGTGGCGTGGAGTGGAGCGGAGCGGAGTGGAGTGAAGCCTTCCTTGTCCTCCCGCCGGGCTGCCTTGTGGAGGCACTGCCCGTCCCATAAATGAAGAAAAGTAGATGGCACAATTCGATGTGGACCTGCGATGGACCCAGGCTTCGAAAGGCAGAATCCAGCCCGGCCGTATGACGACTAGACTTCAGCTGATCCGACCACTTTGCAACCCTGGCGCTGCTCCTGAACTGGGCGTGCGACCCTGCATCAACTCGCTGCACCTTACAAAACCAGTGGAGTACCTTCCAACGCACAGCGTTGGGCTGGAAGGTAACCTGGAGCCCCCGTTCAGCCTCCGCTCTGCCTGCGCTCCGCCTCCGCTGCGCCTCCGCCTCCACTCCGTCTGCGCTCCGCCTCCGTTCCGCCCTCGCAGCACCTCGCTCCGCCTCCGCGCCGTCTTCACTCCGCCTCCGTTGCGATGGCTTCGTCGATGGACCCTTCTGCTGCAGCCACTTGAAGAAGCGCTTGCCCTCAGAGATGAAGCCCGCAGACCGGCCAAGGTTTTGCGGCTGGGACATGGTCCGGCCTTCTCCTTCCAAGGGGCCAGCAGAAAGTGCAAGGCTCAGGTTTCCCACGAAAGGGTTGGACTCGCCGCGACCTTGCCACCTGCTTTGTCATGTTGATTCAACCACTCATTCCGACGACAAGCGCGGTCCGTCCCCAATGCATCCCCGTATTGTTGGTGTGGACCCAGGGACTGTGATGGGAGGAATGGGCCACAAGGCAGCGGTGGGGGCTAGGAACGACACCAAGCAGAGCTCGGCAAGCATCACGCACGTAGTTGTCTTCTGGAAAAGGCGGGTTTCAAGCTCCCGGGAAAAGTCCTGCAAGACTGCGGTCTCCTGCACTCGCTTCTTGAACGCACTCTCAGCCTGAGCAGCCATAGTACAACAACAAGTGGAGAAGGCGAGCTGCTGTGAAGCAAATGGCTGCAGAAGCGATGCCTGGAAAGCAACAAAGGCCCCCGAAAAGAAACCGTCTGGCGTCAGGTGGTCAAAAACAATCTGAGCAGTCGAGGCTGCGTGTCGCCCCCTTGTGGAGCATGTGGAAGCACAGGTTGAAAAGCAGCGGCCTGGCTGACAGCACGATGCTCATTCCAGCGACCGCAAGCAGAATGGTGAAGCAATTGAACATTTTGCGGGCCACTGGCAAAAACAACTCAAACCATGCCTTGAACCGCTCAGAAGCGCTGGAAGAAAGCGCGCGTCAAGTGTAGACGCGGTGGCCGGGAGTGAGGCAGGCAGTATGGCTCTGCTTGTGCCAGCGATCCAAGACATTGGTGAGCTAGATTTCACCGCCGCGGAGTCTGGCCGCCGAACGAACCGCCCCAAGGCACAAGCATTGTCGCACACCACATATTGGAGAACAAGCCTGCGCCGGACCGCTGTCAACATGGCAAAGTCACACAGAAGCCAGCGCCATGTCATGGGTTTCCGACCCACGCTGCCACGTCACATGCCTCTCTCTCTCTCCCTCAGTTGATGTCTCTTCGCCCTCTGCAAGCATGTTGCAAGCGGCAAAAAGTCAACACGCACCGGAAGCAGACTCGGAACCAGAAGCCCATGCCTTCAGGGGAAAGGGTAGGACCGGGCGCCCTCGTCAGCCGGTAGAGCGACCCGCAGCACCCAAGCCGGCCCGGGCATAGCCTGCAGCTACCAAGGCGAGTGCAAAGACCAGTCCGCATCCAGCCAAAGGCCAATGGGAAGCGCCCGCGAAGAGCATGAAAGAACACCCTCCAAAAAACAGCCTCTGCTGGCCTGGCTGTCTGGGGGGCTGCCTTCATCAGCCCTCCACTTGCCTGCCGCTGCCTGGGGGCTGCCTTGGAGGCAACACAAATGAATAAAAAGTAGATGTCACCATTCCATATGGACCTGGTGCAGGCTTCGAAGCACATGAATCTCAGATCAGCCCTCCACTTGCCTGGCTGGACTTCCTCAACTCCGCCTGGAGGCGAGGCAGAATCCCGGCCTCGAAGGAAGCCCTCCGCTTGCCTGGCTCCCGGTTGCGCTCCCAGACTTGCCTCCGGTGCCAGGGAGGAACTTCTTGGTCACCCGTTACAAAGGTCGGCAGAGGGCGGCAAGTGAGAGAGTGAGTGAGTGAGAGAGGAGTGGGGGAGTGTGTGAGTAAGTGAGTGAGTGAGCGCACTGAATTGTGCCATCAATTAAAAATTAGGTAACCTGTGCTTCTTAGGGCGCTTAAAAAAATGTGCCATCTATTCTGCTTCTAGTTCGACCCCCCATTATCTGGACCCGCCGGAGAAAAGTAGATGGCACAACACCCTTTTGTTTGTGCCATGAATTTTGCAGGTAGAGTAAAAATGGGGTGTCCATGTCTGGTTTTCGTGGGGATTCAGACCAGAATTGGGGTTTCCACCCATAGAAGAAAGCATGGGGGGCTTCTGAGTCTCTGGTCATGGATGGTCTCGGCTCCAGAACCCTTCTCAGCGACTCAGCTCAGCACCGGGCCCCCAGGTCACAGAGGCTCCTCAAACCGAAGCTCGCCCTTGGAACTTTTGGGGGAAGGGGGGCGCCACCTGCACTTCAAGTTGGAGGCACCAAAGGGTAAAAGCACCTGGACATTTCAGACCCAGATTTTCTTTCGAAGCTACGACCTTTTCAGGTCGGTTCCAAGAGAAAAGCAATGGTTTGGGGTTCAAATCCCCACGTTTGAGTGCCCAAATTTGGCCAAACCAAAGAAACCCGTGGACAAAGTGTCTGCCCTCGCGAAGAGCTTTTTTGCTCCAAATAAACATCCTATATTTGCGTCTGGCCCAAAAAAAATGAAAACCTGAAATCAGAAACTCATGTCAAAAGTCCCTGAGTGGTTGTACAACCATGGTCATCCTGACGCACCCCACCCCGCCCCACCCCACTCCCTGGCAAGGAAGCTGTTCTGTGAGAATCTCTCTTGTGGGTCGGGGTGCCCTCACAACTCTCTGAACCATGACGACCAGTTTGTGGGCAACAGGAGCGAATTTTAACCCCCGGACCTTCGGGATAACAAAAACCGTCACCAACAAAAACACCAGGTCTGGCTGAAACCGGGACGATGTGACGCAGGTCCATGTTCAACCAGCCGCCCTCACACATCTGAGTTCACTGTTCAAAAAACGGGACTCCACAATTAAAACAACCAAATGCCCCAAGACCTGGACAGGGGATACCCGAGCGACAGCGGAAGGGTTCCCCGAAAACTTGGGACCCTTTTCCTTCTGGTTTTTGCGAGTGCAGATTCCCCATCCGTTCGAGTAAGGCAAACCCCTGAAGGACTTAGACCCAGAAAAAATAGTGGTTCTTTGGGGTCGAAAATGGGTGGCTCGTCTTTTTAAGGAGGGTGGGGATCCCACTATTTTCGCACACACCCATTTTCGAGGGAACCCTTTGTGTGCTGCTTCAAGGGGGAAAAGGATGCCAAAAAGCAAAACCACCATTTTGTGGGATAGTCAAAAAACAACAAAGAGCCAACTGCGGTTGGCTAAGGCCTAGGTCCCTTCATAGGAATCATTCCAATAGTTTTGGATCCTTACCAGGTGGATCGCCGCTTGGTGCGAGAGCTAGGGGATGACCTTCCGCCGGGCGAACTTGTTTGGGGGATTCCCGAATAAAGGAACCCATTGGATGTTCGGCCAAGTGGTTTCACGGCGGACTAAGTGGGGTGACCTAGGCTACCACCAACTAACTGAACCAAACCAAACACCCAAGCAGGCCAATCTGATTTTCTTGACCTCCTTCCATTTCTCCATTCCCTGCGTCTCAGCTTCTTCTTTGACCAAACCCCTCTGAACCAAGCCCCAACCGCCCCCAGCCGCGCGCCACCCGCGCCCCAACGGCCCCCAACCCCAGCCCCCCGGTCCTCAGCCCCGCGAGCAGCGGCCCGTAGCAGGCGGCGTCCAGCGCCCCCAGCAGCTCCGGCTGCAGCGAGGCCAACTTCTGGGCCTCGCTGAGAAGTTTGTCGTCGAGTCGTCCAAAGGGGGTTGGGGATGAATCCGTTCTCGGGGGAGTCCAACCACGTTTTTTTGCAGTTTTGTTTCTTTCTTAACTACTCTTGGGGATGAATCCGATTTCAGGGGATGAATCCGATTTCAGGGGATTCTCGGTTGCTTTCGGCTCCCCCGCTAAAAGTTTAACTTTTAGTGGTTTGGTGGAAAACCCATAGTTGGCAAAAAGTTTCTTGTCCAAACAGGGTTGTTCCAACCACGTTGGTGTTTTTTCAGCTGGTTCATTTTCTTAACTACTCTTGGTTGATGTTTTCCGGAGTCCAAACACGTTGTTTTTTTGCTTTTTGTTTTTTGTTTACCAACTGCTCCTTTTACTGCCTGAGTGGAATCCTGAGTTGGGGCCCTTGTAAGGAAACTAGTCTTCCAGAACTTGTCTGGATTCCAACCGCGTTGGTTTTGTCAGCTGTTCATTTCCTAAATGCTCTTGGTTGATGTGTTCTTCAGTTGGTACAAAACCGCCGGTCAATTGGATGTTCCGGAGATGTAGTCAGTTGCTGCCTCCTGGAAGGCTCTGCAACAGTGGATCAACAACAACCACATCCACACCGTGTCCTAGATCAGGGAGAACAAAGCTCGCCGGGAGACGGAGAAGTGAGTGTGATATTTTTCCCCGGGGGAGGGAATTTAGGGGTGTGTTGTTCTTTTGGAGTTTTGTTGGCGGGTGAAGCGACCTTTGTTTTGGGAGGCCCGTTTGTGTGTTGCTGTTTGGGGGGTGGAAAAGGCTGTGTTTCTTTTCGCGGGGGTTCAACCGTCGGGTCCCAAGGCCATGCTTTTGGCAAGGAGGTTCAGAGAATGCGTTTTGAATCGAGAAGCCAAGGGGCGTTTCACCTTTTCAGGTGTGGGAACGGGTGCGGGTCCAACAAACCCGCCAGAACCAGCGGAACCAAAATGGGCACCTGTGACTCACCCAAGGACAATCCCCTCCAGGGCTGTGGTCATCCCTTCTGTGATGTAGAAGGCCTTCTGGACGAAAAAAATGTCCACTTGCATGAGGCAACGGTTCAATTTAGTACCACACAAGCCTCGAACTAACCCCACGATAGCGTGGATGGACGAAATCTATTTCGCACCACCTAAGAAACCCTGGAATGATGATTCCCCGCGGTTTCCCATGATTTCAAAGTGGTGCGAAATGGATTTCGTTCATCCGCGGTATGTTTGTGAAAACTCTACCTCTTGGCTTTGAACAACAAGCTGGTGGAAATTCCATCGGTGAGCTTCGCGGCCCAAACAAACAAATAAAAAAACACCTTGGGGCTGGAGAAAATGAAAAAAACAAAAACAAATCCCCCCAGGGGAGAGGGTGGGGGAAGGAAGCAATGAAGCAATGAAAAACGAACCCTGACAAACAGCCCACAGCCCAACAGCCCAACGGCCCAGCAAAACCAATACCCAGGAACCCAAACAAACAAACTGACCCCTCCCTCCCCCTCTCCCTCCCCCGCCCCCGCACTTCCACTTCCACTTCCCGACTTCTGCACTTCTGCCACGCCGCGGCCACGCTGGCGGAGCTGCGCGCCGGCTGCTTCACGCAGTCAGGGCTGCCTTTCTCAGCTGCCTCCTGGACTTTGGCGGGGAGGGAGGGAGGGAGGGAGGGAGGGAGGGAGGGAGGGAGGGGAGGGAGGGAGGGGAGGGAGGGAGAGGAGGGGGGGGGGGGGGGGGGGGGGGGGGGAAGGGAGGGAGGGAGGGAGGAGGGAGGGAGGGAGGGAGGGAGGGAGGGAGGGAGGGAGGGAGGGAGGGAGGGAGGGAGGGAGGGAGGGAGGGAGGGAGGGAGGGAGGGAGGGAGGGAGGGAGGGAGGGAGGGAGGGAGGGAGGGAGGGAGGGAGGGAGGGAGGGAGGGAGGGAGGGAGGGAGGGAGGGAGGGAGGGAGGGAGGGAGGGAGGGAGGGAGGGAGGGAGGGAGGGAGGGAGGGAGGGAGGGAGGGGGGAGGGAGGGAGGGAGGGAGGGAGGGAGGGAGGGAGGGAGGGAGGGAGGGAGGGAGGGAGGGAGGGAGGAGGGAGGGAGGGAGGGAGGGAGGGAGGGAGGGAGGGAGGGAGGGAGGGAGGGAGGGAGGGAGGGAGGGAGGGAGGGAGGGAGGGAGGGAGGGAGGGAGGGAGGGAGGGAGGGAGGGAGGGAGGGAGGGAGGGAGGGAGGGAGGGAGGGAGGGAGGGAGGGCAGGCAGGCAGGCAGGCAGGCAGGCAGGCAGGCAGGCAGGCAGGCAGGCAGGCAGGCAGGCAGGCAGGCAGGCAGGCAGGCAGGCAGGCAGGGAGGGCGGGAGGGCGGGAGGGAGGGAGGGAGGGAGGGAGGGAGGGAGGGAGGGAGGGAGGGAGGCACCATCGCCCACCGGCACCGAACAGGGGAAATGTGTAAGCTCCCAATCGACCTCATGACCCCGCGAAAGCGACATATTTCATTGTCCATAGTCAACCTAAATGGCGAAATATCAATTCCCAAGGACCAGGGCTTTCCCCTCAACAAAAAACAAAAAACATCTTCCAACCCATGAAAATGGGTAGATGGCTCCAACCCAACCCCCACCCCCAACGCTCCGCACCCACCCACCCCCCGCACCCCGCCAGCCGCGCCTGGTACCCCGCGCTGAGCGCCGCAAAGGCCTCCGCAGCCCGGGCTTTGGCGGGGCCCTGCAGCGCCAGGCGCAGCAGCGCCAGAGGCGACGCGACCCCCGCCTCGCGCGGCGCGCGGCGAAGGCGCGCAGCGCGCGGCCGAGAAGCCGCAAAAGCGTTCGCGGCTGAGGCGTATGCGGCGCGCGAAGGAAGGGTCCGACAGGGAAGTGGGGTGTTTTTCTCTCCCCCACCCAAAAAAAAAAGGCACGGAGGGAAAAGCGTCCCTTTCTTTTTCGGCTGAAAAGCCTTCAAACAAAGAGCTCGCGCCCTTTTTTGGGGGGTTGGGGGCTGAATCGGAGCCCCCAAAAAAGAAGGAGAAACGGCTTTCCGGTTGGTTTCTCTGGTTAAAAACCAACCAAATGGGGTACCAACTCAAAAAAAAGACCCGACGAACCCAGTGACCCGCGTAGAAATGGAAACGTGGAAATGGAACCATTGCTTTTTGGGGTTGACCGTTTTTTTTAAGCCATCAAGCAAAAAGGGGGAAATAATGCCACTGAACAACCGGGTGTGGGTACATGGTTGCGGAGAATCGCCCGACCTGTGATACCAAAGTTGAATTCCCATCCCCACTAAAAACTTTGAAATTGGTCCCTAGACACCCTGGAAAACGAAAGGAGTGACCCATTTGTGGGGTTGCTTTGAAGTGAAACAGACAGGGAAACCCAGGGGGGGAGGAAGCTTAAAGAAAGGGTAAGTTCAAAGACTTTTGGGCCTCTAAAATGATTCGCACAAACCAACCCGCAAAAGAAATGTCAGCTGGAAAGAAGAAGAACGAAGGGGAAGACCAAGATGCCACCCTGGTTCGGTCAATTGTAGACCACACCAATTGTAAACGCAAAAATCACAAGCCGGCTTCGGCCTCAATCACTTGTTAGAGGAAGCTCTGTTGGAAGCATCCCCCTTTCTTCGCCTCAACGTGACCTTCCAAACTAACATGAGACCCAACAAACATACAGTGTTGAGAGAAGTATCTTTGTGGGAACCCAAGCGTTGGTTTCAATGTTGGGCCCAGTTCCAGCGCGGGCTTTTTGGTTCCCAAGATGGGTGGACATAAACGGGGGGGGGGGGTGAGGGTTCCTACAAATTGGGCCTATTTCTCACGGCCGTGACTTTCATTGCCCGAACTGCAACTGGCAACGGACTCTTTTGGACCTTGGGAGGTATAGTCAAACAAAAAGCCGGGAGGCATATTGCGTGCGTCCCACCCCCCCCCCCAAAAAAAAAGAAAAGAAGAAGATGCTGGTCAAGCAACCCCCAAAAGCGGTAATTACTTTCCAAATCCTATGCTCAATCGAGAGTTTGGTTCGACTTACCTGGGGTCTCTCAAAGGAACCCCGTCCGACACGATGCTCTTACTGTGGATGAACGAAATCCGTTTCGCACCACTTTGAAATCATGGTTGAAACCGCAACGTTTGTTGGTATTTACGTTGGGGAATCGAATCATTCCATTCCCTTGGGTTTCTTAGAACGGTGGGACGAGAAGCGGATGGATTTCGATGTCAACCATCCACAGCTATGGCCTCAGCTGAAGTCTCACTCCCTGAGCCTATTTTGGGCTGAATGAACCCAGGAATTCCCGAATGAAGGACACCGCAACACATGGTTCATAGGGGAATAAGTTGGAATGAACCGGTTTTGGGGGATGCGCGAATCAAGGAAACCACCAGCCAGTTGGATGGTTTTATCTCGGGGTCGTCCCTGCCTCTCTCGCAACAACTAGCTCCTCCAGATTTGAGAGGTTAGAATAAGGGTACCAACTTTTTGTCCGTCTATTTTAGGAGGGGAACCCAATACCCCAAAAAAGTTGGGGTGAGAAAGTTGGCCCCTAGCTGGAACACGCAAACACGCTTTCTTCGCGCTGGCGCTCGCGCGAGCGCGCCCGCGCTCAAAAACCGCGGGCCTCCTCGGCATCCAACAACTCGGGGAAGCGCTTCAGCGCGAAGCCCAGCGCCGAGATCCTCGAGCGAGCGCTCGAGGAGGCGTGAGGCCGCGCGCTGTTGGAGGCCGCGAGGCGGGAGGCCGTGGGGGTTGGAGGGTGAGGCCCCCCCACGTCCGGTGCCTCGTCTTTCCCGCAAAAAGGACGTGAAGAACTCAGGGGCGGTCTTGCTAGAGTTGGCGTTGACCAAAAAAACACATGTCGCAGAGCTTGTTCTGCAATTCCAAAGACAAAATCACCAACCACCTGAATTTGGAGCCGTGGCTCGAACCATTGACAAAAAAACACAGACTCCACCGGTTGGTGTCCCTCTGAACCAAGGTTGGCGCCGCTCGTCGGCCGATTTCCGAGCCAACAAACACGCAGCTGTTTTGCTCCCAGGGAACTTGTGAGCTGACGGAACCCAGCATTCAACACCTGGCAATTTCTTTGGGGTCTACCCAAGCTTCCACCCAGCTTTGATGATGGCTCACCTGAAGATTCCCCGAACATTTGCCCCCGACTCGGCGAAAGTCAGCTGGCATACGTATTTGTGTCCAACGATGTGTCAAAGCTGGAACGTAAGCATGTCTATGAAAGTTTAATACATAGCACAGATGCCAACGATTTGAATGGGCAACTATTGAGCCGACCGCCGGATCACGCACGGCGTTCAATTTCGACTAATATGGTTTCCACAAGATGACGAAGTGAAAATGAGCGTGTCCCCACATGTCCGTCCCAAGTGTGTCTCCAAAAATGGTGATTGTCCCTGTGCTTTCCCTTCTAAAGCCACACGCAAACGAGGACCCTCCAAAAGACGAGCCGCAACAAAACGGTGGTTCGCTTCTGGTTCGCCTAATCCTAATCTGCCGAGAAAAGGGGCGCCCGAGGAAAAAAAACAAAAAGCACAGAGACGGACCCAGACGGACCCATCCACAGACCTGACACCGACACGACCACGACACGTTGGCCACGGCGCATGGCCGGGCGCGCGGACTTGGAGCGGCAGCCCTCGCTCAGCAGCAGCAAGGCGCTCCTTGCGAAGACTTTTGCGATCGGTGCGATAGATTGGGAATGAGAGGGAATGAACCGGTCTTGGGGAGTCCCGAAGAAAGGAAACGACGATAATAGGTGGGGAGTGAGTCTTTAATGAGCCGGTTTTTGGGGATTCCACAAAGGGAAAAGCGGCGGTGAAAGCGTTCCAGCTCTCCGATTCCCTCTCCTCTCTTCGCTCGAATAAAGGAAACGACAAAAATAGGCAGGGAGTGAATTGTGGTGGTTCTTAATTGGAAACAACAAGGACACCCTTGCCAGTTTGGGAGTTTAAACAAAGGACTCACGCCCACTTGGATGTTCAACCAAAATAGAAAGTAGGTTGGTATCCCATGGTTATAAGGTGACGATCACCCCAGTTACCCCAGTTACAACCATGGTTATCACCTACTTACCAAGTTGGTTGAACATCCAAGTAGGTAAGGAATGAGTTGGAATGAAGAGGTTTTAGGGATTCCCAAACAAAGGAAGCCACCGGGTCATTCCATGTCTCCTTCCCTGCCTATCGCACGCAGCGAGAAAAGCTCTAGCCCAGCCTTTTCACTTCATGGCGGAGGCGCCGAACCAAAAACCCACTCACCTCACTTCCGAAGGATTGGCATTGGATCCAAAGAAAGTCGCCGAGCTCTTTATTTCCTACGGTCCAAACCCAAAAAGTGGTAAAGGAGGTCCAGGGTTTCTCAGGGAGTGAGATGAATAAGGAAGACCCAATCAATGGGTACAGCTAGCACAGAGTTGGAGATTTCAACCTGCAAATGGCTGAGCCATGATTTCGGGCCGTGCTATCTGATTGGTTCGTTGCAATAAGTTGGCCCCCATTTGGACCCCAAACGAAGCTGTGGTTTCAAGGCTTAGATCAAAAAACCCGGTCACAGGGGCCCTTGGAAGCCTAAGAGCTATTGGCTGTGGCTCAAGAAAGTGGCACCAAAGCTTCACCTTGGCAAATGAAACCAAAGACGAAATCGTACCCAATTCAGTTCTTCCAGGATTGCTGGGTCACTGAAAACTGATGGGGTCCTTCTCCCCTTCCCCTTTCCCCCCCCCCTCCCACCCCCCCCCCCCCCCGCCGCTCGAAAGCCCCGCCTGGCGCACTGCGCCAGGGAGGCGCCGCTGGACGGCAGCCGCGCCATGGCCTGCGCGAGCTGCTCCAAGGACCCGCGGTCCAGGAACTCCTCGGCTCGCTCGCTGCGCGCTGCGCGGTGAGTCGGTGAGGCGGTGAGTCGGTGAGGGGGGGCGGCGAGGTCGCTGAAGGTGTGCTTCGCTCAAGGCGATCCAAGGGGTGGGAGGGGGGGTGGGAGGGGTGGGGTGGGAGGGGTGGGGTGGGGTGGACTAAGCACTAAGCCCTTCTTCTTGGAGGGAAACGCATTGGAATCGGCAGGTGATAGATATGGTGATTCCTGGTTTACCTGGTTGTCTGTTTCCAAGCTAAACCAACACCTAGGTGTCTTTTCCCGCAAGGGAACCATGCGATGTGTGCACGATTAAACACAGTCCCTCCCTGTTGCGGGGAAGTCAAAATTCCATGCCCAGGCCCGGCACACTGTGGATGGACGACATGCACTTCGCGCAAGTTGTCATGAACGAAGCCCTGGCATAAGCTGGTGCGTCCAGACCACAATGGCCTTAAGGAAAATGACAAAGTTCTGCAAGAGGTTCCAGGCGGTGAGCCGAGCGCTCGGAGAAAAACGGCGAGAAGTTCAAGCCGTGGACTTGGGAAGCTTCAGTTCCCGCTTCATTCAACTCACCTTCCCCCCTTTGGGCCTGAAAAAACAAATCAGGTCATCGCCTCTTCGGGCGACCTTCACTACCGTTCCACCAAACCACCAAGTGGTTTGGTCGCGTGAATGCAAGCAACCAGAAACCAAATCTCAGGTCAGCGACATGGAAATCTGCCATTTGGAAAAAATGAGCAAATATTTCCGGTAGTAGTGATAAATTCCTTTTAAAACCAACTTTGGGGAAAATTAAGCATATTCCTTTCCGCAAATGGAAGAAAGAGCTCCACCTAAACCAAAATGGAACCCTGGAAAGTGGAAACGTGGACTAAAACCTGTCCATATCCTGGTGGTTTAATTTGGACCCACACCCAGATGGGTGGTTTAATTTTGACCCATCCCCAGCTCATGTCAGGTCGATTCGACCTGAGCTCCACCTCTCCCGCTCGACGTCTCGTCAGGCCGAGGCGCGAGCAGCGAGCCCAGGATCCAGCTGTGACGGCACAGGCGCTGGCCGTCCTGCGGTAGCTGCCCCACGAGAGCCCACGGCTCTCGTCTGGGGGGGTTCCTCCTAGGTCCTCCAGACTTGAGAGGTTAGAATAAGGGTACCCTAGTTTTTTCCGGTTTTGTCCATCTTAGTAGGGACTCCTACTGTGGATGGTTGCGAAATCCGGTCGCACCATGTAAAAAACCCTGGAATGATTCCTTTTCCTGTAAAAACCGACAAACAATGGGTTCAATCATGGTTTCAAAGTGGTGCGAAATGGATTTCGTCCATCCACAGTAGGTCCTCCAGATTTGAGAGGTTAGAATAACCCGATTTTTCCTGTTTTGTCTCTTTTAGTAGGGAACCCTCGCCAAAAAAAGGGTGAGAAAGGCACTACTGGATCACCTAGACTCACTTCCGAACGAGCGGATGGGCTGAAAGTAGCAACCCACACTTGTTGTCTCAAGCCACTAAGATGGTCCAAACCCAAAAAGTGACTGAAGTCCAGGAACGCGGGGAGTGTGGGATTAACAATCCTCCCACAA